TTAATTGCTCTCACATGGTTAGTAAGCTCACATTCAATATGGTATCAAAGCGATAGGTTTCAATGAAGTTCTAGAGAGTTTTTTCTTCTGCACAATTCGAGAATTGGAAGATCAGTTGGTCACCGACAATAATTCACTCACCGGAAAATCACAAATTCACCAGAAAATCATAAATTCATTCACTGATTCGATCCGATAATGGCGAACAGAGTTGGGAGCTAGAGTTAATTTTTCAGAAACCTCGAATAAGGAGAGGACTACCTCAATTCCAGAACAGACCGAGAGATTCACAGATATTCACCCCATAAATCCTTTGTATCTGCATCCATCAGATACACCAGGTAGCATTTTAATTCCTCAACAGCTTACTGATATTGAGAACTATACCGGATGGAGTAATTCCATGTAAGTAGCATTGTTGGATAAAAACAAAATTGGGTTTATTGATGGAAAATGTCGTAGAGATCATTATAAAGGTGATCTCATACATGAATGGGATAGGTGTAATGCTTTTGTGCTATCATGGATAACTAATTCAATCTTGAAGGAACTAGCAAATGGCTTAATGTTTTTGTATAATGCACATAATGTTTGGAAGGATTTACAGGAGAGATTTGACAAATGAAACCTCACTAGGATATACCAAATTCATCGAGAGATTAGCACAATATGTCAAGGAACTTTTACTGTTTTTGAATACTACTCGAAGTTGAGGAATCTATGGGATGAGTATGTGTCTTTAGTTCCTCTGCCAGAATGTGAATGTGATAAGTATCGAGTATATACATAACATATGGAGAGACAAAAGCTCATGAAGTTTTTAATGGGATTGAACGATAGTTTTGCTCAGTCGAGAAGTCAAATACTCATGACAGTTCCAAGCCCAAGTCTCAACCAAGCTTACAGTATGATTATGCAGGATGAAAGTAAGAAGATTCAGTCTAGCTTAATATCAAATTGTGTCTTACCTTTGTAGAAATTGGATGTTAACGACTCCACTGTTTTAGCCTCGATACACAATAACAAATTCAACCAGAACACAGGGTTATGTTGTGATCTTTGGCATCTGAGAAACCACACAAAAGCCAATTGCTATAAATTGATTGGATATCCTCAGAATTACAAGTTGACAAAGAAGAAAAATGTGGATGATAGATGCTTCAAAGGTCAGGCTTATGGCAATGACAAAATGCAGAACTATGGGGTAGTAGAAGAACTCAAGTCAACAATGTCAATTTCTCTAAAAACATTGCTCCTGATTCTCCTTCTTTTCCTACTGTGCCAACATTCACTCTTGATTAGTATAACCACCTGCTAAAAATGATTGACAAGGAGTCATCACCTCAAAATCATGTTGTTAACATGGTAGGTAACCCTTCTATTCCTCCTTATACATTCAGTACATCCATTAGTTGTTTTGCTGTAGGTAATGATGCAACTCCTTGGATTGTAGACACTGGTACAACTGATAATATGGTCCATAGTTTGAATACATTACTAAACCCTACAATTATCCCTTCCAATTCTAGCAATGTGTATCTCCCAAATAGTTAAATTGCAGAAGTTACTCACATTGGTTCTGCAACCTTATTTGACCATTGTAACATTCAGAGATGCCTACATATTCCACAATTTTCCTACAATCTTTTGTCCATTTCCAAGCTTATTAAAGAACTCAATTGTTGTGTGTCTTTCTATCCTCATTTTTGCCTTTTTTAGGACCTTTGCACTGGAAAGGTGAGGGGGATTGGTAAGGAAGAAGGAGGCCTTTACATGCTCCCACCTACCAAGAAGCCAAAGCTACCATCACCTGCCACTGCACTCTCATCCAACATTGAGTCTGTTTTTTGGCCATCTTCTCCAAAAAAAATTTCCATCTGCATATGAGACTTGGTCATGCTCCTATTGCAGTACTACACAAAATAGACTCACTAAGGCCTCAGTTGCAGAATAAAGTTTTTCATTCATGTCCTGTGTGTCCTCTTGCAAGACAAACTAGATTCCCCTTCCCTTGTAGCGCTAAGAAAATTGTATCACCTTTTGAAATTCTGCATATGGATGTTTGGGGGCCTTATAAGCAATGCACTTATAATGGTCATAGGTTTTTTCTTACCATTGCTGATGACTACTCCAAAATGACGGATTTTTTTGTTGAGATACAAAATGAAGTTGTGACTTTTATCACAACTTTTATTAATCTCATCAAAAATCAGTTTTCAACTTCTATTAAAACTATTAGATCAGACAATAGTCTTGAACTTTTTAACTCACAATGTCACACTCTTTTTACTTCTCTTGGTATAATTCACTAGAGTACTTGTGTCCACATACCTCAACAAAATGGCATTGCGGAAAGAAAACATAGACATCTTCTTGAAATGGCAAAGGCACTAGGTTCCAAGCTCACCTTTCTTATAAATAGACTTCCCTCATCTATTTTGGCAGGAAAATCTCCTTACGAGGTCTTCCATAAACAAGTGCCCAAACTACACTATTTGCGAGTTTTTCGCTGCTTATGTTATGCCACCAAACCAGTCACCACTGACAAATTTTCTCCCAAGGAAATTCCTTCTGTTTTTATGAGCTATTCTAATACACAAAAAGGTTGCAAACTTTACAATATTGCCGCAGGTTCCTTTTTTGTTAATAGGGATGTATCCTTTAAGGAGGATATCTTTCCATTTAAACATCCCAAACATACTTTTCTAGATACTCAACCTCCTTCTCATACTCCCATTTTTCTAGTCCCTTTATCTGCATTCCCTAACCCTGCAGATGAATCTTTTCTGCTATCTTTTCAGACCCCCAAACCAGTCGTCCTCTTGTGACACCTGATCCTCAGTCCATCAATTCACATACCATTCCTTCACCCTCAGTTCCTAACTCTCCATCACCTATCTATCCTCATCTTACACCTCCTCTTCCTGCAACTCCTCAAACAAAATCTTCTAGATCTACCAAACCACCCATCTGGAATACTGACTATGTCACTACTTCCAAAACATCTCATCCTATTTCTACTTCCATGTCCTACTCTAATATCACACCTTATAAATCTTATCTTTCCACATTTTCCTCTTCTATTTCAGAACCCTCCTCTTTTGACCAGGCTTCCAAAAATAGTAATTGGATTTTGGCTATGGACCAAGAGATTCAAGCACTCACTCACAATCACATTTGGCAGGTTATTGATTTGCCTCCAGGAAAATTACTTATCGGTTGCAAGGGGGTGTATAAGGTTAAGTACAAAGTTGATGGCAGTGTTGAAAGATATAAGGCCATACTAGTTGCTAAGGGGTTCACTCAGTAGGAAGGTTTGGACTATCATGATACCTTCTCCCCTGTGGTGAAAATAGTGTCTGTGAGGTTTGTTATTGCTTTGGACGCTCAGTCTAGTTGGCCTATCTTTCAGATGGATGTGTATAATACCTTCCTTCAAGGAGATTTATTTGAGCAGGTATATATAACCTTACCACCAGGATTTGCCAGCCAGGGGGAGCATAAAGTCTTTAGGTTGCTCAAATCCTTGTATGGCCTGAAACAAGCTAGCAGACAATGGAACTTGAAGCTCACTAATGCCCTCATCCACTCAGGGTTTACACAAAGCAAGCTGGACTATTCACTATTTACTAAAACAAACACTGTTGGTGACATTGTGATCATACTTGTATAAATGGATGCCTTTTGATCACTGGTATAGGAGGCTAAAGATGTCCTACATCATAACTTCAAGATGAAGGATTTGGGTGAATTAAGGTACTTCCTTGGTATTGAATTTGCAAGGTCAAAAAGTGGGATTTTGATGAACCAAAAGAGGTATGCTTTGGAGTTAGTATTAGAATGTGGGCTAGTTGGAGGAAAGGCAACTACAACTCCTCTTGAACAAAACCAAAAGCTTACAAGTTTGGAGTATGACAATCAATTTAACATCACAAATGATGATGAGTTAGAAGATATAAGAGTCTATCAGAGGCTAATTGGGAGACTGTTATACTTAGCCATGACAAGGCCAGATATTTCTTATGTTGTGCAGCATTTGAGTCAATTCATGCATGCACCAAAGAAGTCTCACTATGATGCATCCTTACATATAGTAAGGTACATTAAAGGGCAACCTGTCTTAGGACTATTGATGAGCAACAAGAAGTCAGGAAAGATCAATGCTTATTGTGATGCCGATTGGGCATCATGTGTTGTCTAGAAAGTCTGTAACAGGTTTTGGTATTAAGATTGGTGAATCTTTGGTTTCTTGGAAGTCAAAGAAACATAATATAGTCTCAAGGAGTTCAGTAGAAGCTGAATATAGGAGTATGGCAACAACTGTGGCAGAGTTGGTGTGGCTACAAGGGTTATTGCAAGAACTTGGAGCTCAAGTTGAGTTGCCAATGGAGTTACACTGTGATAATAAAGCAGCAATGCAAATTGCTTCAAATCCCATGTATCATGAACAAACAAAACATATAGAGATCGATGCAGGAAGGATTAGTTAAGACTGGATACATAGCAAGCAGAGAGCAAGTGGCAGATATTTTCACCAAGTCATTGAGAAAGCAATTACACAATGACATGTTGTTCAAGTTAGGAATGCTGGACATATTCCACCATCCAACTTGAGGGGGAGTGTTAGAACGAATGTAATGCGTAATTAGTTGTAGTTAGTTGAGTTTGTTAATATGTCATTAGTTATTTACAATGCTAATTAAAAGTTAGTTAATTAGTCAGAAGGGATGTATAAATAGGAGCTCTTTCTCATTTGATAAAGCAAGTCAGTTAATTCCTTTTCCTCTGTATTTCTTCCATTCTCAATTGCTCTCACATGGCTAGTAAGCTCACATTCAATATTTTTGATAATTGCATATTTTAGGGTGCAAATTATAATGAAATGGTGAGGGATTTTATGAAACTTTTGGTCACCCTAACATGCATCCTCTTCTGCACTACCACTTGTTTATGCTCACGCTACTTTCAAATAATAGAACGATGAGAGAGGGGTTTGTTATCCCCTGAATATTAATGTACATTCTCTCATTATATATATTGATGAAACAACTTGTCAAAAATGAACATCAATTGGGAACTAGGAGGAGGGTCTAAGTAACCATGAGCACATGGTTAAATATATACATACATTGACTTCTTTTACCTTGTGTCCAACTCAATTATATAGTATTTAGTTAATTGTGCGAAATCTTGCTCCATTATACCAAAAGTTGCCTGGTTCCTTGCCTTTCTCATCTGCAAGAGATCTTAAACAACATACATACTTGGCAATAAAGTCACTGTTTACTGATAGAATTTAATTTTTACTGTGAATGTGAATGTGAAATAATAATCCAGGTATATTTCAGCATGGAAGAGAATATTACCACAAGACCTCAAGGCCATAATATGTCAAAGGCTTGGAACTTCCTTCTACGAGAACAACAGCACATCCTAACAAACAAGTAGATGTCCAAAGTAAATACTTATAAACAATGGAGACACTAAATTATTATTATTGGCAAATAAAAATGTATAGCTAGCTCTGTATTGAAACATAGATAAAAGGAAAGGAAGAAATTAGTACCATATTTGATGAAAAGTGATGTCATGCACTTCCATCCTTCGATTGCCTAAGCATCCGTAGATGTTGAGCTATCTCTGTCAAGAGTTTGATTCCTTCATCATCCCTCTGTAATGTCATAGTAGCATGTTTTAAAAACATGCTCTCTGCTTCGATGGCACTCAACCTCTCTCTAATTACTGAAACTTCTCTTCTAAGAGTCACTTTATTTTCACAGTATCCTACCAACAACAAATTATAAATATCTGCAAAAATCATGAGGAAACAAAAAAAAAAAAGATTCAATTACGTACAAACCTTTTCCTTCAGATTCATAAAATCCTTCATCCTTAGATGTTGTAATTTTGTCTTCAAGCTTGGCCAATAAACCCATGAGGTAACATCTCTCATGCTCAAAATCATATTCGAAAGTGCCTAATCTATGTTGATCTCCTTCATCAGGACTGACACAAGTTGATCTTTCACTAAGGGATGAAAAAGAATGAGAATTCCACTCTTCATCAACATCACACACCTCACTTCCTACTCTCTTCGTATCTCCATATCTTTCCCTATATGTCTCAACAACAACTTCCATCACCTTTATGTCTTCTTCTCTTTTCAAAAGCAAATCTTTCATCACTTGCAAAGCCTCTTGATCGTATTCTGCCTGCTCTTCCATCATTCTCTGATACTGTAATGCCTCCATTTGGACAGCAGCCTTCTCTGCTTGCAACCGAGTGATCATGGCCATCGCATTGTTTGCTGCAACAGCAGCCGCACTTCTTTCCTCATCAAGTTCCATGTAAAGTGCAATGACAGACTTGTGGTCCAAATGGACTTGCCTCTTCAACCGATGTAGGATGTCATTATCTGATTCATTCACTACATCATTACTCTCTGAAATCAATTCCATACTCAATTTTCTAGGCCTGTGTGACCATCTTGGACTAGCTTGACATGAATCTGACAATGGGATACCAAAGAACTTATTTCTTGTAAAATTTGCAGTTTTCAGGGAATCATCATTTATTTCCTCTGAATTAGCACCTTTAATATTATCCTCTCTACCTGCTGCAAGAAAGAAGACATTATTATTCTTACTAGTTAGTAGTAAAACATGGGGGAAAATATATACCTCCATCGTCCAAATCATTAACGAAGATGAACTTGAGCTGTGTGTAGTCCTCATTTCTCCAAGGAGCTTGAGAAGAAGGAGTTGACTTTGATCTTATTTTGAGATGCTCCCCACAACAAGAACACCTAACAAAAGAAGTTGTTGTTTGGAGCATAACCTCATGATCTTCCTTCTTCATGTGAAGTGCATCCTCCACAAAGCAATCAATATCTTTGTGCAGAATCCCAACTAGTGACTTGTACCTATCACAATCAGCATCTTTCTCTGTTGCAAATGATAGAAGGCATCCCTCACACATGTTCTTTATATCAGAGAGCTTCCTGTGGACATGGCAATAAGCAAGGGAAGATATATCCTTCTTGTGAACTTCACATATAGAGTCATTGTAATAAAAGTTTGCATCCCTATGAACGAGAATGTGATCGATCCTCGTGCAAAGCAAGCAAGGGATTTTCAAGTCAAACAACTTGGCAAATTCATTAGAGAAAAAAGCAAGAAACCCCTCAATGAAAAGCAAAAGGATCATCACCCATTCAAGAAGAGCATATATGAAGAAGAATGCAAATTTCCCCATCTTTTGTTCAACACAACACTTGAAAGCCATTATTCCTTTGTGTTTATTGATGTATGACAAAAGATGAAGAAATTAATTAATCAAAAAAAAAAGATGAAGGATCATGACCATGGTAGGAAAAGTGAAACCAGGATCATGACCTAAGCTCCCACTTTCTCTCTCCTCACTATATCTTTGATTGATGATAATAGAGGAATTAAGAGAGTTTGCCTACTACTCCAAAATATTGGGTGGCGTAGTTCATTTTGAGCTATATGTAGTCAATGGTCACTCTTTTTTGTTGTCTGATCATTTACCTCAATGAACTCTCCTCCCTTCATTCCACCTTCCTCTTTCATTCCAAAATTACCAATGCCTCTTAGGTTAAATTATTTCTCCCTATGTAATTCATTATCATCATATCTATATCTATACTAGTTCTGGGAATGTGCGTTTCACGTTTATTCCAAAATATTTTATGTAAATTTTGTAGGCAAATGACAAATTTATTCTCTTCAAATCTATTAGTATTTACTAAAAGGATCCATCATTTTTATAATAGAAAGTACATATATCTTCCTAATAAAAAGAATATATCCTTAATTATAAAATTGACTAAAAGTGCATAAAGTAAAAATAACTAACTATTGTACAAATACAATATTCAAATGAGGATACTAAAATGTTACATGGTAGGCTATAAATAAAAAGCAACAAACAACTAAAATTCTCAATAATGGAGTCATATTAATACAGATATTTATATATGTAAAAAGAATATAATATAGGTTTATATGGTTTTTTTTCTTTTTGTTAAGGGCAAACATAACCAATCATATTCCTGATTGGAAGATGAACAAATTTTTTTTTTTATAAATTTACTCTAACATAAATTAATACAAAGAATACATATGCAAGAGACTTTATGGTGGTTGATTCATGTACTAATATAATGATTTGCTATTTAACATTTAATTTATTAAATAATTTATAATATTTAAATATAATATAGGGGTAAAATTGTAATATAATTTTTGCCTAAAATTCTTCCCACTTTTATAGTTAATTTTTGGACACGTGTATTTCCATATTAATGAACTTTTTTAAATATAAATAATAATAACACAACTCACAAGCACAAAAATAAAATGAGAGTATAGTGATAAAAGAATATGCATAGTGAGAGGCAACATAAATTATAATAACTTCAAAAACATGTTTTTACTATAGTATAAATCAGTGGTGGAGCCAGAATTTTCAGTAAGCGGGTTCAAAATCTAAAAAAATAGACAAACGAAGTAGCCGAAGGAGGTTCGACATCTACTATATATACCTAAAAATTTATTTTAACCATGTATAAATCATATAATTTTCTGCCGAAGGGGGTTCGGATGACCCCCTCATTGTAAGGTGGCTCCGCCACTTATAAACACATGCTTATATCAAGTAAATAGAATTACATATGAAGTAACAACACTGCATCAAAATATTACAAAAAGATGAGGAATACAAAAAAAAATCACCAAACAAGCTGATGTAGTGTCAAAGGGAATGAGAATATCAGTTGTGCGCATCAAAAATCAATTGGAGAAAAAATTGTGCTATCAACCAAAGGAAGAATTTTGACAATTTTCTTTATCTTTCTTGTAAATTGTAATCCCAAAAGTCATGCTACATTCTTTGCAAATTGCCATACTTGATATGAATTTATACAAATATATTGCTACAATGTAATTAAGTTGAAAGCACAAAAGGTAAAACAGTTTTCAAAATTATCAGACACATTAAGTTATATTTTAATAAAAGTAGATTTAGCTACATTATTATAATATATTACTCCATAAAGTACTTCATCAGTTGTAATTTTTTGTTTTTGTAAGTTTGTCCTTAAGAATTTCAATAAGAGTAGATGAAAGGTTTGACTACAATATTATTTATTCATTACTCTATAAAGTACTATTTACTTTTTAACATGTTTATCTTGAAGATTTATGTGTCTAAGGAATAATATTTATTAGTAAGATATATATTTATATACAAAAATATGTATGTCATCATATGCATAAAAAATGAAAAAGAATAAACAAAGCAATATATCAATCAGAATAAAAAAGAGTAACCGATAAATAAAAAAATACATTAAAATTATAAGATGATGAAATTCAAAAGTGTAGTGGACTAACATTTTATGTCCAATTTATAAAGTAAGAAATTGTGTGCATCAAATGTTGTGAATGAATGTGAAAGTAATAGAGAAAAAAAATATAAATTACTTAATTTTGTAGATGGATATGCATGGTTGTGTTGACGACATAGAATCAAAAAATTGTTAATAAATTTACCTCTTATTTTTTTGCTAATAGATAAAGAATGAAGAACATAAGCAGTTATTATAGAAATGTATTGAAAAACTTAAAAGAAAAGACATTCATTTCATAAACAATAAAAGAGAAAATCAATTCAAATGAATATAAAAGAATGATTTACCTTTTCATCTACTGTGGCCATACAACTCCCATTTTTCTATTAGTTTGTATTTACTTTTTTTTTTAATTATAATTTATCATGTTTATAAAATATATTTTTATATTTTTACACTTAGAGCCTGTTTGAATTGGCTTAAAAAAAGTAAATTTTTGAAGTGCTGGAACTTATTTTTAAAATAAGTAGTTATGTGTTTGGATAAAAGTGCTGCAGTTGAAAAAAGTTGTTGATGTGTTTGGCAAATAAGTGCTGGTAAACACTTTTTTTTATCAAAATGTCTAAAATACCCTTAAAACTGTTAACATGATAAAAAGTTGATTAATTTAAGGTTTTTTATACTTAAAAAAAATTAAAACAAAATTAATTTATATTTTACATCCATAAGTAATAATATTTTCCTATCATTAACATATTTCTTTATCATCATAAATTATTTATAAGAGGAATATAAATTTATTATTTAAGTTAATTTTATATGCGCAACCTAGCAGCAGCACAAAAGGGCTTTTAAGTTTAAAAAAAAAAAAACACCCCTCACCTAGCTTTTAGCTTTTGACTTAAAATAAGTCATTTTTTACTTAAAATAAGTCACTTTAATAATTGTCAAACACTCTAATAAGTCAAAAAGTTTGATCAACTTAAAAGCCCATCCAAACAGGCTCTTATATGTTTTATATATATTTGCTTGAAATACAAAAGAATTATTCAATATTTCATGGGCCTGAAAAAACTCCCAAACCCAGTGCTCATGACGAAATGAAGGCGGCTACGTCCTTCATCAATGACACTATCCGGAATGACTTTTACAGGAAGTTTCTTCATAATTACATGAAGTAAAACATAATGCTCTTAAGAGTTGGCAAATATTGTGTCCATGCTTAGCATGCAGTGTATCCAGTGGCGTACGCAGGATCTTATCCCTCACCTAGACTTATGGTACTCTTACCAACTGTGCTGCACATATTTTTGTATCAAAACGTATCACAACATTAATATATCTTAAATTTTCTTCTGTCTTTATATACATATTTAGCAAAAATATTTGGCGAAGTCGTGTCCCGTGACACCCCTTGGGTGTCACTAGATCCTCCCTGAGTGTACCTTCAACTTAATTGAAGCAAATTCAACTGTTTTGTTACGCTTATTGTAGTGTGTATGTAAACAAACACTAAATCATTTCAAGTTTTATGTTATAATGCGTATCATTATGTTGACTATGCATTTGCTGTGATTAAACCAAATGACTCTTCTTCATTCTTTCTATTAATTAGGACCAAAAGTCCTGAATTTATATGAGTTTCGCAATAATGTATCAGGAAGAACCAAGAAGATGAGCACATCTGTACATGCATTTCATAATCAAGGACGGATTAATTACCCCACAAGTTAATGGGTTCGATAGAACTCAATAGCTTCGGCCTATACTTCATATTTGTATTTAAGTGATCCACTCGAGTATCAATAATTTATTTCGAATTCAAAACCTATAAACTTAAAATCTTAAATCCGTTAGCCATAAGCTTGATGATCGATGATCTATAACACATAGTATTTGAAAGTTTCCTATCATCTTAAGACGTAAAAAAGTGGTAGAAATGATGGCAATCAAATAAATATTCAGCAAAATGATACTACACATAAATATACAGTTATTGAAGGGTTTGCAATTTACATACACATATTGACAGATTTCTGGGGACATACATAAGACCTCGAGCCAATTTGTAGATAACACAGACAGTCCATGACATATTTATGAATTACTTTTTATACAATTACACCATCCTAAGCTATTCTTCTACAACTTTTCATTTAGTCATGTACTATATTTGATTAATAAAATAATAAGAGATCTTTCGTAATAAATAAATAACAATACAAATCCCTAACTTTCCTTCTATTCTTTTTCAAAATCTTTGACACTTGTCTTTACACAAAGATTTAACTAACACTACTAAAAAACTGCTAAAAAACGATGGACAGAAAAGCGATGGACGGTGTCGCTCCAAAAAGTGACGCCATTTGCCACACTGTCCGTCGCTTTTTAATAAAAATAATTATTTTTAAAATTATTTTACAAAAAGCGACGGACAGCATCTCCTAGTTCGTCGCTTTTTTCCGTAGATTTTTGCGCCATATATATATAAAATTAATAATTATTTATTTAATATAAATATAGACGTTGTCCGTCGCTTTTAATTAAAAATAATTATATATAAATTTAACAATAGCGACGCCGTCCGTCGCTTTTTATTAATTTTAATTGTTTAATTATTTTTTAAA